AAAAAAAAAAAAAGAAGTGAATGGTGCCCGAACTGAAGCCAGCAGAGGTCCACCCAGGGGGCTTGCAGGAGCACAGGGCACACTAGCCCTGGGGTCCCAGCAGCTCTGCACATGTGCAGTGTGGCAGACCCTCCTCCCTGGGCCTCTGTGTCTCCATGTGGAAGTGGACAGCATCTGCCCCTACCTGACTTTCTGGGAAGAAGCCAGGGAGGAAGAGCCCTCGCTTGCCCAAGCTCTTGGTTTGTTCGGACAGGTCCACTTGCCAGAAGGCCTTAGGGCCGGGCACGGAGCCCTGCTGACCTCATTGCCGGAGCAGGTGCAGCGGAGGGTGGGGAGGAGAGTGGGATGGTTTCTAAGTCAAGGTCACAACCTTTAGACACTGGACCTCCTCTCTGAAGGACCAAGTGGCTAGAGACCCCAGAGGCCAGAGCGGTCTCCCTACATGGTCCTTCCGATGCAGCCGTGGAGGGCTGGGGCTAACAGCTGCGGGCAGGTAGATCTGTGAGCCAGTTCTGATTCCCTTGGGTACTGGGCGTGTGGCTGTGGGTCTCAGTTTCATCTTGAAAATGGACGTGATGACAGTATTTACCCCCCCTAGAGATGTCTGGGGAGCAAACGAGATCGTGCATTTAAAACGCTGAGCATGGGGGACTTCCATGCTCGATTCCACTGCTGTTATCGTTACTGTCATCCTTGGATAGGGTGGGATTCTCAGGCCCTGTCCCTCACCTGCCGGGCCCCCCACAGCAGATCGCTTGGCTTCTCCAATCCTCAATCTTCTCATTTCTGGGCAGGATTAGAACCTGCTGCAGCCGTGGGGAAGGAGCTGCAGAGACTTGGGGGATGGGTTGAGAAGGACACTGCCACAAAGTTCTTTTGTCCCCTGCCTAAGCTGAGCAGCCTGGAGACAAAGCCTAGACCCATTAGCCTTGCTGCCCTACCCCCATCTCCCCAGCACACCCAGACCTGAGTCAGTTGACTCCTCAGGCACGCCCTATCTGCTTTCCACTGGGCTGTCTTCTCCCTTCCAAATATGTACAGCTTCTCATCCCTCCGATTACCTGCATCCTCTCTGCCCCGTGATACTCCCTGCATCTGGGGAACGAGGGGTAAGGGGAGGGAATGTGAGCCCTTCCCTTTTCCTGCCCCTCCTTCTTGCCCTTGGCAGATCCAGCTGTGGCTACAACATCTGGCAGGCCGCAGGGCCAGTCCCTGCCAAGAGCGCATCTCCGCAGCCCTCGCCCTATGGTGATGTCACTGTTCTGTGTCTCCACGGCAACCACAGGCTGGGAAGATGGAGAAGAGGAGAGCCGAGTAACCAAGAGAGAGCCAATGAGATGGGCCAGCTGCACCGGATGATCCGTGGGGCCATGGGGCGGGGCTGGGGGGAGAGCAGGGGGCCTACTCAGCATCTTGGGCTGCTTCCTGGACCCTCCCCGCCATCTGGACGCCTCCGATAGGGGATGTGCCACTGGCACGGGGAGAAATGCCGGAGGTAGAGGCCAAAGAAGCTGAGCTGGAGCCTCCACTGACCCAGGGACATAGAGACCCCCCCATAACCTCTTCGGGGCCTAATCTGTGCATGTTGACTGCCCCACTCCACCCCCAGGACCTGCTGCTGGAATTTTTTTTTTTTTTTTTTTATGGTAATGGTGGTGCAGCCCTCTGCCACGGAATCAAGTCCTTAACCCTTCTCTCCACACCCTCCATAGCTTCCCCTGGTGCATGATGTATTCAGAAGCGGCATCTTTGGAAAGAAGCCTGGTTCTAAATCCCAAGCCTGCAACTTACTAGTCAAGAGACTAGGAGCCAGTCCCTTCCCCTTCTGAGTCTCCTTTCCTCCCAAATGGACGAAGGGCCATCTACTCCCTGGGTTGACAGGAGGATTAA